GAGTATATTTCTGACTCTCTACTCCTCTACTGTCAGAAAACTTCAGTGAAACCTGTTAGGAAAATATCCCACCCCTTTCTCGTGCTAGTCCACGTAGAGGATGACATCCCACTACTGCCGTCAGTGCCTTCTTTCGTTAGTTTAAATGGCAAACGTCTGAGTTAATGTAAAGGCTCCTGCCCTGCTGATGAGCCACAGGGTCTTAATCTGATGCCACATGCTGGAATGGTTGGGCTTTTTTTCAGTTTTGTTTTTCATCAACCTAGGAAATTGCACACCCAATTATCTAAGTTAGAAGAGTATTATTAAGATTCCAAAGTCAAGTGCTCCAAAGATAGGAAATGCCAGAATTAAAGCTGTCTGCGCAACCCTAATTCTGCCTTTTGTGTATGCACTATGAGACGGTCTTTAATTACTTGATTACTTAGTTCCCCCCCCACACATAAGACTATGCTTTAAGTGCACAAGAAGGATCTTGCTTTAAGGATGAATCAGGATTGTGTGTTGAAAGAAACTGTAGGATTCTGCTCCATTTGTTGAAGTAGAAAGGTATGTACTTGAATACATAGAGCAGGGGTTGGCAGTCTGTGGTATGTGGGCCAAATCCAGTTGCGAAGTGCTTGGAACTGGCCTACAGTAGCATGGAAGAGTGTTGGTGAGCAGTTGGTCCAGCACATCTTCCATCTCTGCCCTGCAGTGTGCCACTGATATGCTGTCGTACATACCCTACCGCACATGCCACGCTGTGCAGCCCTCCCCACTGCTATTGGGCAGGGGGATTAGTGATGCATGATGTGGGTGGCAACAGGCAGCCTGGAACCTGCCACTGTGGAAGGGGCTGCTAGGAGGGGAATGGCAGCCCACCAATGGCCAGGTTGCAATTGATGGCCCACTGCTCTGAAAGGTTGCTGACCTCTGATGTATAGTACTAGAGAAGGAAGATAGTCTCATGGTCAGAGCAGTTGAATGATTCCTGTCAAGTCACTTAAACTTTTCATAGGTGAGCACAAATTGCCCATTCCTTATTTTCTGGTTGCCTGACCTAAGACACTAGAGCCTGATTTGTGCAATTTCTGGGTGTCCACAGTAATGGGACCTCAGTAAAGTAATGCAAGTCATACTTTCAACATATACACAGCTGCATAATGCTCAGTACTCAGAAGAATCAGGAACTGGGGCTTCAAACTGAGCACCCTAAATTGGTGTGTATTGTTTACTTTGTCTGTACTTTGTTCCCTGTTTGTGAGATGAGGATCTCAGAGGGGGGTGAAATAATCTTCAGTCCTATTAGTGAAACACTCTCACATTGTCATGATGAACACCATAGAAAGGCTCCTGAGGTAAATAATAATGATGTAATTAGAGCAGTGTTTGAAAGGTATGCAGTAAATAAGACCCGAGGCCGTGCATCGAACATCTTGAGCACTGAGTGAGCCGGGGCCCTCTGGGAAAAAAACATGTGATTGTATAATTAAAGACTGTCCCATAATGCATGCATATGAGGGAGCAGCGACAACTTTTATGTTTGCTTTTCTTAACTTCTGAGTGCTTGACCAGAACCTTATCAATGGGGTTTTTTGTTTCTTTTGGGGTTTGGGGGGGGGGAACCTTTTCAATGGGGTTTTTTTTTTCTTGGGGTTGGGGGGGGGGGGGGGTTTGCATATAATACAGAGGTTCTCAAATTGTGGGTTGTGTTCCCCTAGGGGGTCGTGAGCAACTTAAAAGGGGGTCAAAAACTTCCTTAAAAGGGGGCTGCAAACTACCTCCTGGGGGTACTTAGGAAAGCCCCAGGGGGTACTTGGCAGTGACGCGGAGAAGCGAGGGGCAGGGCCGCCACCGCCATCCAGCACTTTGCACCGTTTCCACTGCCGCATGCCCCCAGCACTTCCTGTTTGGCCACTGCGCTCCGCGTGGGCTTGCGGGGGACCCCTTCTCCTACGCTTGTCAGCCGGCCACCAGCAGACTCCCTGCTTCTCAGCCGGCTGCTGGAGGTACACCAATCAAAAAAGGTTGAAAACCCCTGGCTTTAATCAATAGCTTTAACCGGGGGGGGGGGGGGGG